TGCAATGTCCACTATCCAGACTTTTTTGCCTTTCTTATCAACAATTGTTAAGTCTGGGGTGCTGTGTGGCAGGTGCTTGTCTGGATGATGATGATGATGATGATGATGATGATACCCAGGTCCCAGCGACACTGAGCGGTTCTTGACTTAGTCCAAGATCTAAATCATGGTGTTTCAAACAAAGGCCAGTGCTATACACAGATTTTTTGTACATGCTGTTTCCCCAGTTCAAGCCCGAATTCCCATCCTGTATACACAGTCCTCATTTAGTGACTGCCTTGTTTAGCAACCATTCACAATTATGACCATGATGAAAGAGTAACTTTGCAACCAATCCTCACATTTATGACTTTTGAAGGTCTGTAAAGCAAAGAAAAGCTGAAGTAAGATGATAAGCACAGTTGCGGTTTTACTTAGCGACTGCTTTGCTTAACAACCAAGTTGCTGGTCCCAATTGTAGTCACTAAATGAGGATTATCTGTATTTATAGCTGCTCCATAATGTTACTTGTGGTAGATTAACACCAACAAGTGATATTTGATTGATTGATTGATTTGATTTGTATAGACCCATATCTTATGTAGCATAACCCTGGGCAATTCACAAGCAATAATAGAACAGTAAAAACAGCAAAAAAACCAAAACAAAAAAAAAACCCTATAAAAGCCAACAAGAACCTTCCTGGCACCCCAAACACAACATATCCTTACATATCCAAACCAACTGGAGAGCTTCCTTGGGCTTGAGCCTCACTCTGTCCCAAGGCTTGTGGGAAAAGCCAGGTCTTTACAGCTTTTTGGAAGGCCAGGAGGGTGGGGACCTGCTGGATCTCAGGGGGAGCATGTTCCAAAGGGCATGCTACTGAGAAGATGCACTGTTTAGGTCCCACTAGGTGGCAACATTTAAAGGAAGGGTTTATACATTATACATTGTTTACAATGTATGAATCTGGATCAGTGCATGTTTATGTATTTTGTATCAAAGAAGGTTGCTCACATCTGCCTATCCAGCAGATTAGCCACAAGGGAATGTAGCCCTTCAGTTATTCCCTATTAAAGATACCCTCTTTCAACCTTAATATTTGCTTAAGTATTTGTTCCACTATCTACGTTTAGATGTGGTTCTGTTTTCATCTCTGGAAAATTTGCTTTTGGAACACCATGCGGGAGAAAAAAGGAACCAAAGATGTCCTTAGTTTAATATGGGGAGAAGTTTAGGGTCTCACAAATCTCTTTTTCATCCTTTCACACTCTGTGTTCAAGGCTCAATGCTAGATATAAACAACTAGAGACTTCTAAATGTTTTGGACTTCAGCTCCAACCAGCCCCAGACAATACAGTAAATTGCAGTCTCGGGACTGTAGTTTAAAACATTTGGAGAGTACCAAGTTCTTCCTTCTTCTCAAGGAAAACAAGATCCCCCAGATCCTGAATATGTTAAAAAGGCAGAATTGCTGTGGTGTATATATTCCACTGAGTTCTGCCCCTCATAGACATAATTTTCACAAACTCATTTCCTGCTCTATGCAAACTTCAGTTTCCTCAAATGTCTCTTCCGTGTTTCAAGAATGTTCCCAACTGGCTAACAAGTTTCTTCATCTTTTCAACCTCTGCCAGGGCTGTGTGCTTCTCAAATTCCAAAACTGCCTCAAAAATACTGCGATTCCACAATCTGGGCAAGATAAGCAGAGCGTATACTATCATTTAGTTTGCTTTTTTGCACAACGGAAAGGATTAAGGCAATACGCAGGTTCTGCTCATCCCTGGCTACTAGCAATTTGTCATAATTAAAGAAATGTCATAATTAGAGAAAATGGGTGCGAAATATTTTCATGTTATTGTTGGTATATTGCCTCAGTTATGACTGTTACAGCGGTTCTCAAATATTCAAACATTTGTTGAAAATGCAATAAAGAAATAAGATCATTTATGGGTGCCAATTTAAAAAAAGTTCAGTACGTTTAGAGATGATGTATTTAAAAATACAACAAAGATTAGTCTTGCATTTTACTTCCCATCTCAGTATTTTCCTATTAGATGTGTCTACACCTACAAAGATCAGAATCATGCAAGCTATGGTGTTCCCTGTGACACTCTTTGGAAGTGAAAGTTGGACTTTAAAGAAGCAGGATAGGAAGAGTATTGATGCCTTTGAACTTTGGTGTTGGAAAAGACTCTTGATAACACCGTGGACAGCCAAGAAAACAAACTGATGGATCACTGAATAAATCAACCCAGAGTTTTCACTCAAGGTGTAAATTGTGACCAGGCTCAAATTATTGTACTTTGGACACATTACACGAAGACCCAGCTCTCTGGAAAAAGCTCTGATATAGGGAAAGGTGGAAGGAAAGAGAAGAAGAGGATGACTAGCAACAAGGTGGATGGACTCAGTTACAGTGGGGATGAGTGC